ATCAAAGGAATGCTGTATGCTAGTGTAACCAGCCCGGCAAGGTCCTGATGTCTTTCTAAGCGGTCTCTCTAAGGAGCAAGACATGGGTGATGGAGGCTGAGAGCTGGGGGCTGGGGGTGGAGAGGACCATAGTAGAGTAACATGAACTAAAAACTGATACAACTAGGGACTGATAAAACAGACTCATCAGTTAAGAGTCTGCGTTTGGCTTGGGTCATGATCCCAGTGTCCTGGGATGGAGCCCTGCATTGGGCTCCCTGCTCAGCTGGGAGTCTGCTTCTCCCTCCTCCTGCTCTTGAAACCCCCCTTTAAAAAAACAAAACAAAACCTGAAAAAACTACATAATTCAAAGAACATTGGTCAGTTTCAACCTCTGTGATCTGCCCAGTTTAAGGATATCCACCAGTTCCTTTAATGCTTTCCATCTCTAAGACCACCTGAGTCTAAACCTCTACCATCTTTCTCCTGGACAAGTATAATGGCATCTTGATTAGATTCACAGCACCAGAGGGGAGTGAGGCACAGGTCATGGTCCCAGCATCCTGGGATCAAGACATACCTCAGGCTCCCTACTCAGCGAAGCCTGCTTCTCCCTCTCCTACTCCCCCTGCTTGCGTTCCCTCTCTCGCTGTGTCTCTCCCTGTCAAATAAATAAAAATCTTAAAAAAAAAGAAAGAAAGAAAGAAACTGACTGCTTTACTTCTTGCTTGAAACCCAAAGAAGTTTTCTCTGATTCCCATCCCCCTTCCAAAGAAGCACTCCTTTCCCCCAATAACTATTTTTCTTATCCTATTTGTTTTACTGGTTCATTCAATAAAGGGTAAACTCCACAAGGAAAGGGATCATGTCTATTTTTTTTTTAAAGATTTTATTTATTTGTCAGAGAGAGAGAGCACAAGCACAAGCAGGGGGAGCAGCAGGCAGAGGCAGAAGCAGGCTCCCCACTGAGCAGGGAGCCCAATGCAGGTCTCAATCCCAGGACCCTGGGATCACAACCTGAGCCAATGGCAGACGCTTAACCCACTGAGCCACCAGACATCCCTATAGATCATGTCTATTTTATTCACCAACACATTACCCAGTGTCTACTCTAGATCAGGCACATGGTAGGTACTCGATTAACTGAATGGATGAATGAAATGGAGAAACACTGGCAGATCAAATTGCCAATGACACTGTAACAAGTGGAGGTTGACTAATATAATCATACAAAATTCTTGAGAGCCACCAAAATGTTTAAGATCGGGGGGGGGGCAGCAACTCCCCGTGGGTTTTATATAAGTGGAATTGTAGCATCTGTACTCTTGGTCTGGCTTCTTTTTCTTTTCAGCAAGATTATTTTGAGATCTATCTGTGTGTCAGTAGTTCATTACTTTTTTTTTTTTAAAGATTTTATTTATTTATTTGACAGACAGAGATCACAAGTAGTCAGAGAGGCAGGCAGAGAGAGAGGGGGAAGCAGGCTCTCTGCTGAGCAGAGAGCCCGTTGCAGAGCTCGATCCCAGAACCCTGGGATCATGACCTGAGCTGAAGGCAGAGGCTTTAACCCACTGAGCCACCCAGGAGCCCTAGTTCATTACTTTTTAGTGCTGAGCATATTTAACTGTAGGGACATAAACTGTTTGTTTACCCATGCACTGGACAAACAATTGGCTGTTCTCTGTTTCTCTCGTTCAATAACGCCGGACCTAGGGATGTGTCTGGATCACAAGATAGATGTCAAACTTTAAAAGAGTGGTTGTACCATTTTACATTTGCACCAATAGTGCATACAAGTTCTAGTTCCTCCACATCCTTATCAAGCTTGCTACAGTCAGTCTTTTTAATTTTAGCCACCTTCATAGGTAGGAAGTGACATCTCGATGTGGTTTTGATGTGCATTTCCCGAATGATGAATTATCTTGAGCATTTTCTCAAACGCTTACTTGCTACTCACGTTTTCCCTGGATATCATGGTTTTGTTCAATTTACAAAAGAGGCTCTCGCTCATTACATAATTTAGACAAACAATATAGAATTTATAAGGAGTATATAATCCCCCACTACCAATCCACACCCCCAACACCCAAACAGATAACCAAAGGTGCATAAGAATCACCAGGAGCCCTTGTCAGATGTGTAAATTCTTGTCCGCACGCTTGAAGATTCTGATTCAGGTGGTCAGGGATGGGGCATTTCCACAAGCCCCTAGGTGATTTCTTTTTAAGATTTTTATTTATTTATTTGAGAGAGAGAGAGAGAGAGAGAGAGCAAGAGAGCGAGAGAGTGCACACACACAAGCAGGGGGATCAGCAGAGGCAAAGGAAGAAGCAGACTCCTCACTGAGCAGGGAGCCTGATGCGGAATTTGATCCCAGGACCCTGGGATCATGACCTGAGACGAAGGCAGAGGCTTAACCGACGGAGCCGCCCAGGCGCCCTAGTCCCTAGGTGACTCTGATGCAAGTAGTTTGTAGATCACTTCTTGGGAAAATTCTGCTTTTAATCTCAACCTACTACAGAAATGTTGAAAGAATGAAGGCTGCGAGTCTGGAGGTAGAAACATGAAAGAGGTCCACGGGCTGAGGTCAAATAAGGAAGAGCCTTGGCCTAGAAGAGTATGTTTGCTCTATGCCATCCTATGAGCACCAAATGGTTAGAATCTAAAGGTCAAATTAGGGAAAACTTTCTAGGAGTACCTGGCTGGCTCAGTTGGTAGAGCATGCAACTCTTAATCTTGGGGTCCTGAGTTCAAGCCCCACGATGGATGTAGAGCTTACTTTAAAAAAACAAAACAGGGACACCTGGGTGGCTCAGTCGGTTAAGTGACTGACTCTTGATCTTAGCTCAGATCTGATCTCAGGGTCGTGAGTTCAAGCCCATGTTGGGCTCTCCATTGGTGTGGAGCCTTTAAAAAAACAAACAAAAAAACAACTTTCCAACAGAGCTACTGTGAAACAAAATCAGGCCACAGAGCCAGGAAGGGAAGGAACTTGCCAAAGTCACTGAACTTGCAGAAAAAGGACTTCTCTGGGTTGAGAAATGACTGGCTCAAGGGGAGGCAGACAGGGGGCAAGAGAAGAGACATCACACACATTCTCTGTTTCTGAGAAAGAACTCTCCTTTATAAACACCTGGAGAGGCATGTAACCCACCAGACAGGTAATTTGTGTCTCAACCCAAATTAAATAGCAGCTATTTGCCCTAAGCCATATTTCCCTGACTCTATTTGCGAGGCCTAAAATGGCAGAGAAAGAAAACAACACTGTATTTTTTTTTGTAAGAGCAGTTCTTTTTATAGGCAAGTAGGCCTGCCCAGGCCCTGTCCTCACAATTTTGGATCTGCAGATTTTAAAACTCTTAAGCCTGGGGCGCCTGGATGGCTCAATCAATTAAGCATCTGCCTTGGGTTTGGGTGGTGGTCCCGGGGTCCTGGGACCAGCTGGGTGGGGGATCTGCTTCTCCTTCTCCCTCTGCCCCTCTCCCCTTGTGCGTGCATGCATGCTCTCTCTCTCCATAAATCAAATAAATCAAAATAATAATAATAAAAACTCCTTAGCCTGTCAGTAAACAAGCTATAGGCTTTGGACAATGGAGCTCAACAAACACTATTTTGCTTCAGTTAGAACACTCAAACACCCCCCCCCCATCGGTTAAATAAAAAGCCATTTATTTGATCTAGAACACAGTCAACCAAGGCTCTGTTTACCACAACAAGCTGCTGATCCAAGAGGGATGAGAGCCAGCTGCAGCAACTCCTGTGCCCCGGCCAGAACTCAACCGAGCCCACATCACCTGGCAAGACTGGGTGTCGCCCAGGTCCCCACATCACCCTCCTCTTTCCTCTCATTTAGAAACAAGCTATGCAGGTGCTGGTTCCACTCAAAAGAGGCAAGCAAGGCCAGTAAACAGTCCTTGTTAGAATGCCTGGTGGCTTCTCCTCTCAGCCTTTCACCTTAGGCCAAATATTGACGTGGTGCATTGCTGTACTTTTGTTTAGATGATCATCGCCAAGATCTGCGCTGTCGCTTTGAGTCATTATAGGGTTCTCTTTATAGTTTCAGGTTTACAATGTTTTTAATTTTGTGTTTATTTCAGAGACAGCCCAATGTCTTCCATGTCATCATCTTTCCTAACCGGCACAGCTGCGAGCCACTGGGCTCTGTGCACCTGCACCACTCACTGAGCACTCCCTACGTGCCAGACACTGGGATCAGCATTCATTCTTAAGTCGGACAATAACTTGAAGGAGGAGGCAGACAATCTCATCTCTATTTTACAGATAAAGCCGGGCTTGGGACTGAAACTAATACTGCACTAGATAAGTGAACTAACTCAAATTTAAATAAAATCTGTAAAGAAGAAAAAACAAGAGAGCAAAACACTGGGCCTTGGAGAGGTTAAACGGTGTGTCCAAGATCACCCAGCTAGCAGGGTCAGAACACTGGATTGACAGCCGGTACTCGCTTTTTTCCCTAGTTGCATCCCTTTAAAAAGAGCAAAAAATTGCTCTTGATAGCACAGCCTGAGTGCCAGCCTTCCAGTCACTCCTTACAGCAGAATGCTTCGTGTCAAATCTGAAACGGTGTGCAAGGTCATGTGTGAACCCCTCTGTAGGAAGGGATCCAGGTGTCTAAGGGGTCCAGAATCCCAAGAAGGTGAAGCCCCCGGGCAGGCTGCTGTTTCTCTATTCCCCTGCAAGTTCTGGTCGCTCACTGTGCCCAGAACACTGAACTCCCGGGGGAGCCCGACACTCAGGCTTCTGTTCTCAGCTCTGGCACTTTTCTGCGGGTCCTTGGCCAAGGCAGCACAACACAGGGACTTCGAATTTCCTTTCTCTTCCCCCCACCCCCGCCTGTAGTAATAATTATACTTTCTTTGGCAAGGATCCTTTAACACTGTATTTTTCTGTTGTTTCAACCTATCGATTCTTATTAAAAGTCACCCCAAATCCTACACTGAAGCGGGCAGGGATAAACAAACCGACGCAAGAAATTAATAGTTTTTTCCAGACCACCTTACCCCTCTAGGCCTTATCTGCCCACCTGTAAAAGGTCACGTGGATCAGGTTGCTTCCATTTCCTTGCGGCCCCAGGACACAAAGCTCCACCGCGCCACCTGGACCCGGGCGTCGCGGCTCCCGGCGCCCCACACCTCCCAGCTCGGCGGGCAGCGGCGGCGGCGGCTTTACCGCGTCCCCTCGGCGTCCGGCCCGTCCACCCCGCCCCTCTCGCAGGGCGCACTCCCCGCGCGGAGCTCGGGCGCACCCGAGCAGCCGCCGAGGAGGGTGGGACGCCCCGCTCCCCGACACGCGCCGCACCTGGGCCTGGGCGCCGCGGGTCCCACGGAGGGCGCGGCTCTGCCCACGCTGCGTGCGTGCGCGCGGCGGAGGGCCGGCCCCCTCGCGCGCCTTTGTCAATTGTCTGCGGCCAGGTTGTTTTCCACTAGCTGCGCCCGGGACCCGGCCCGGCTTGGGGTGGCCCTGGCCCGCCGCCAGCGCCGAGAGTTGCCGCGGCTCTCAGCGCCGCGCCGCCGGGGAGGGCGGGTGCACCCACCCGTGCCTTTCCGCTCAGCCGCCTGCTCGCCCAGTCTCGACGCCCCCAAAACACGGGCCAGTGCTTAGGCCACCCGGTGGGAATGTTGACCCTTGGATCACTGACAATCTGTGTATCCGTGGCTCTGCCCAAAGCACCAGATGTTAGGGCTAGACTTCGATTTCATTCCCAGGGTTCGCTGCCCAGGACCTCTGGGTTCTTACCCAGCTCTCCCACGAGCTCAATCTCAGACAAATCTGCCAGTCTCCCTCACCCCAGTCTCCTTTCCTGTGATAGAAAGCTGTACGTCCACTCTCTCCCTGCTGTGAAATAGGACACTGTTCTAGGCCCTAAGTAGGTCCCCGCCCCCTTGGGGGGCGGGGCGGTGGTGGGTGAGGTTGGTCAGACACTTAGAACACATTGAAGAGTGAAAATCGCTATGAAAAAGTGTCGTAGGGACGCCTGGGTGGCTCAGTTGGTTAAGCAGCTGCCTTCGGCTCAGGTCATGATCCCGGCGTCCTGGGATCGAGTCCCACATCGGGCTCCTTGCTCTGCGGGGAGCCTGCTTCTCCCTCTGCCTCTGCCTGCCATTCTGTCTGCCCGTGCTCGCTCTCTCTCTCTCTCTCTCTCATAAGTAAAAAAAATCTTTAAAAAAAAAAAAAAAGAAAAAAAAAAAAAGAAAAAGTGTCGTATAAGGGAAGGCAAACCTTTTTTGTGGGATCGGCAATCAACTAGATTAACTTTCCCAAATCTCAGTTCTAATTCTTATTCTCATTATTAGGGCTTATTATTTATTATTATTAGTGGTAACAATAGTAATTTGGCTTCCTAAATGCCAGGCACTATAGTAAACATTTTACTTGTGTTTCCTCATTTACCTCATTCACAACTTCTCTATAAAACAGGCATGCTTCTTAGCATTACTGTTACTACTATCTTCATTTTAGAGAAACTGAGGCCAGAAAAATGAAAGCAATTTACCTACTGTTACACAGCTACTAAGGGACAGGACCAGTATTCAAATTCAAACTGTTGGAGGCCTACTGTTGCTTAACCACTAGTCTACACCCACAAAAACATGAAGACCAGGGGTGCCTGGGTGGTTCAGTGTGTTAAGCGTCTGCCTTTGGGTCAAATCATGATCCCAGACTCCTGGGATCAAGCCTCCCCTCCAGCTCCCTGCTCAGAGTGGGGGAGTCTGCTTCTCCCTCTGGCCCTCCCTACCATTTGTGATCTCTCATGTGTGTGCTCTCTCTCTCTCTAATTAATAAGTAAATAAAATCTTTTTTTAAAAAACCCCCAAAACAAAAAACATGAAGACCAAAATGGGGCTATGTCTCGAATGTGATGGATGAGACTAGAAGGGGAGAGGGGTGGTTTAGTCTGTAGACAAGAAAAGCAAAGGAAGTTGAGAGCTTTCTTTAAAGATTTTTTTTTTTATTATTTATTTGACAGAGAGATCTCAAGTAGGCAGAGAGGCAGGCAGAGAGAGAGGAGGAAGCAGGCTCCCCGCTGAGCAGAGAGCCCGATGCGGGCCTCGATCCCAGGACCCTGGGACCATGACCTGAGCTGAAGGCAGAGGCTTTAACCCACTGAGCCACCCAGGCACCCAGTTGAGAGCTTTCTGATCCATGATCAGACTTCATGTGTGTGACCTGAGAAGTCACTAGCATGGGGAAATCCATAAGCACACATTGGAACATGTAAGGAAGAACTTCTCTAACAGAATGTTTCAAAAGTGGCATCAGTGAGTGAGTGAGAGAGTGAGCATCTTACCACTAAAGGTCAACATTCAAATTATAACACTGCAGGATGCTTGGCTGGCTCAGATGGAAGAGCATGTGACTCTTGATCTCAGGGTTTGAGCCCCACGCTGGGTGTTGAGATGACCCCCCCCAAAAAAAGATAAATAAACTTTAAAACAACAACAGCAAAACCCAAAATATAACATTGCATGGCAACTATACATCAATAATAATTTTAAAAAAATTTTTAAGTCAGCATTCAAGGGTTGCATGCCCAGTCAGTTAAGCAACTGCCTTCAGCTCAGGTCATGATCTCAGGGTTCTGGGAGGGAGTCCCGTCAGGCTCCTTGCTCAGTGGGGATCCTTCTTACCCCTGTGCCTGCTGCCCCCACTGCTTGTACTCCCTCTGTCTCCCTCTGACAAATAAATAAATAAATAAATAATCTTAAAAAAATTTTTTTTTTAGAAGTCAGCATTCAAGCAGAGAGGCTTATCAGAAATGCTTCAAAGAGAGGCGCCTGGGTAGCTCAGTGGGTTAAGCATCTGCCTTCAGCTCAGATCATGATCTCAGGGTCCCGCGTTCGGCTCCCTGCTCAGCGGAGTGTCTGCTTCTCCTCCTGCCAACCTCTACTCATGCTCACACTCATGCTCTCTCTCTCAAATTAAAAAAAAAAAAAAAGGGGGGGGGCGCCTGGGTAGCTCTGTGGGTTAAGCCTCTGCCTTTGGCTCAGGTCATCATCCCAGGGTTCTGGGCTCTCTGCTCAGCAGGGAGCCTGCTTCCTCCTCTCTTTCTGCCTGTCTCTCTGCCTACTTGTGATCTGTCAAATAAATACATTAAAAAAAAAAATGTTTCAAAGAAAAGTCCCATAAAAGTTAGAGTGGTTTAAAGATCTCTAGGTTTCGGGGCTCCTGGGTGGCTCAGTGGTTAAAGCCTCTGCCTTCGGCTCGGGTCATGATCTCAGGGTCCTGGGATGGAGCCCCATATCGGGCTCTCTGCTCGGCGGGGAGCCTGTTCCTCCCCCCCCCCTCCGCCGCCTGCCTCTCTGCCTACTTGTGATCTCTGTCTGTAAATAAATAAATAAAATCTTAAAAAAAAAAAAAAGATCTCTAGGTTTCTTTCCCATTCTGTAGGAATTCTAAAGAGAAATGGAATCCTTGAGTGGCTAAGTGACCTATCCAAAGCCCCTAGGGGATGAAGACCTGATCCCAAGGCCAGCCTAACTTCTAAATCGACTTCCTTTTTGTGGGAAGGGTCTTGAGTGCTCAGCGTCAGCGCCTCAGTTCTGCTCCTGTAAAGTGTTTGTGGGGGGTGGGGGGTGACCAGCATTTTCTCCGGAGTATGGAGTCATCTGCTCTGCTCGTTTCACTTTACATGACTGATGTGTGCCCTTCTTCCTTGCTTGTGTTGAGTATTTTGTGATTTCAGACCCACGTGCCAACAATCCCTGGGCAATTGTTGTATTACTGGGGTCCCAGAGGTAGCAGGGTTCCATAGCCCCAAGAAGTATTTAGTTGTTAACTTAAGGAAAAGGAGACAAGCTGGCTAGTATTTTCATTTGAAACAGATGTTTCTTAGATTCTGTTTGAGGGCTCTGGGTTATCTTGAATTAAATTCCTAAAGTACTCACTCTAGTGCCTCACCTCTTATCCTAGTCGTAAATACTTTGATGGGGAGCAATTTAATGGCCAACTTCAGAAAAGTCATTCTTTTCTCAATGCTCTGGAGAGCTACTTGTTTGTTTTCAACTGGAAACCATTGTGTAACAAAGCAAACCAATTATTTTTTGGGGGGGGGATTGATTTCTAGAACATGTACAAAGAAATGGACATCCCCTTGTCCCCAGTGACACTAACTCAAAGATGGAGTTCCTCTTCACTTCTACCCTCCACAGAGTGATCAATTTTTAAATATCTTTTTTGAAAAGAAAATACATTTACCTGGTTTGAAATTCTAAAATATACTGTGAGGACTACAGCTTATTGACCTTTGGGTTCCTCTCAGTGTCTGCCATCCTGCCTTGTATACAGTAGGGGCTGTATACGTTTTTATGGACTGGGTAGGTGAGTGAGTGTGAATTAAGAAATTGTGGGAGACACAGGAAGAAGGGGCTTAGGATGGGGCAGCAGACATTGTGCCTGAGATGTATGGACTTCAGGGGAGCCCAGATGAAACTCCCAGGTCAGTTGCAAATTTGACCACGACTTTATCTAGAGATCTGGACTAAAAGCAGTGATATCAGGGGCACCTGGCTGGCTCCGTTGGAAGAGCTTATAACTCTTGATCTTTGGGGTCATGAGTTTAAGCCCTACGTTGGGTATAGAGATGAGTTAAATAAATAAAAACTGAAAAAAAAAATCTTAAAAAAAAAAAGTAGCATCAGACTCTTGAGTTAAGCGTTACCTAAAGACTTTGTGCCCCCACCCCCCCCCAAAAAAGATTATGCACCAGCCTGAGTCTTGGGGTTGCAAACAATAAAAACTAATTTTGATTGACTGAAACAAAGAAAGGAATTCATTGAAACAGTCTTGAGCTCAAAGAATCCATGGACAGGCTAGACAACCAGGCTAGAAATACAGGCAGATCTGAAGGGAGGCGGGGGGCCAGACCCCCCAGAGGAAACCACACCACAGGAAAAGTGCTGCTGCCAGACACTGGCAACATACGGAGGATGGGGGCCGTGGCTGCTGCAGCCCCCCCAGCCACGGCCACATACCCCCTGCCACCCTTCCCGGGGTAACTTTTGCACATTGCCTGCTTCTCTGGGCTCCTGTCTCCTGATCACGATCCAGGTGGGATTGACTGGGTCCCAAGTAGTCAGTATTGAGGGAAAACTGCTACCTGTGCCTTCTGGCTTCCAGGAGTGAAATGCAGGCCCTGCCTCACACA